ATATAAAGTTTGCTGAGAAATATTTATGTTCCTTTGTTATTCCGTACAAATGCTTTTATCTCAAGTATTACTAATTATATTAATCAAGTAAAGAAAACTTTATGTAACCCTAAATATTGCTGGGTACGGATTACGATGTTTTTATAAACCATTTAATGTATTAAAAGGATTTATCAACTGTATTTTTTATTCCAATAAATATATCACAACTTCCTAGTCTTTTTTAATTACCTAATCTAGTTTTTTAAAAACATTACAAAAAATAATCTGTTGTGGATAATTTATTGTTGATAACAATGTACATGGGATTTAGGAAAAATGTATATGTTTGAAATCAATTTCGTTTTTATCAAGTCTTTCAAATGTTTTGCCTCCTTGCCGTCAGCTGATTGCGACGTTGCCACATTAATCCTCAAGTCAGACAGAAATGCAATTATTGGTTTCTGTTTCTAATTAATACAGCTGTACTATATGCATTTGAGTAAACCCGATACACCTCCTTAAGCCAGAATTACAAAAACCGGTATATATAATTACAATTTTAACATCAATAGATTTTTTTGTAAATATTGTAAATATTCCACAATATGCGAGACATTTGGGTAGTACGCTGGTCGAGATAAGACTTACTGTAGTTCCTACAGGACAAATATACCGTTGGGTAGTTTGTTCCGTTGCACGAAGCGAATTCTCGTATTAGATTCTTGGGACGCTTGTGTTGGTTGAACCTCCAGATAGCAGTTGTTTCTCTAATCGGAGGTGACTGGATGTGGATCCCGTTCAAGAGACTGCTGTAGTTTGCCATCCTGCAACAAAATCGAGCAACGTAAATGAAGCCAGTGGTTGCGTCAAGCAAATAAAAATGAACACTGGACATGAAGGAAGCTTTATGGCAAATATGTGAATGTCTTATTCCAGAGCATTTAGGAAATTATTTAAAACAGGTAATATTACAAAATTATAAAATTCTAAACAAAATACGGTAAGTTTCTACTCTTTTTTCTTATCCAACCACTTAGGCTAGACTCCGCTGTTCAGTTAACATGCCACATTGTCACTTCTGAAAAGCCGCTACTACCAGTTGACTTCACACCTGGTATAATATGACGGGATGGTAAACGGGTATAAAACAAACTGCCACTTTAATTCTGCGAAACTAGAATTTAGTGACAGTGGTCTATTTTTTTGTTTTCGTTTTCAAGTTGTCAAGAAAGAGTTGATATGGTTGAAGTCAGGAGAAAACGATGTTGTTGCAAGAAGATGATATCAGATGGATTATCCCAACCAATAAGTACCAAATAAGGAAGATGCTTCGAAGACTGGTTCAACATTTAAGATTCAAGTATGTCATATGCTGCAAAAATCAGGCGAGAGAATAGATTATGTACTTATTTTTGTGTATTTCATTCTCACGACGGAATTTGTGAAAATAAACTTATGATGCGTATTTCTAAGGGTCAAAGATAGCCTCCGTATAAATATGACCCCGACTACACCTTGTATACACCAGGAGATGTATTGTCCTAAATGAATAATTCCCAACAGTTCCTAACTTTAGTAACTTTGTACGTCTGGAGCAGGTACAGTTACCGGGATGATTTTATAAATTTTGCGCTAGAGTCGCGAATTGTTTTGAAATATATGTCAAGACCCGTTTGAACCTGCAGCAGTTGCAATTTGAGTTTCATGGTTTGCTAGTTTGTGGTGACGTAAATTCCTACGTAATATTTGTAGTTCTACTGGAAAAAAAAAATTTGCTCTGTTGTTTCATTAATAAACGGAATATTTTAGTGAAAAAATGCAAAAGACAAAGTTTTTGAATGGCGTTTTGTTAATTGCACCTTTTCAACTCCGTAAAAAGAAACAACGAAAAAGACCATTAGGGTTGCAATTTCCCACCCCTTTCGAGGGTCGCATATAATGAAACACATCGGTGCAGGAAAGCCCTCAATAGCCTGCATAGCACTGAAAATTTTTCACTATATCCACAGTGAGTTTTTTTACGTAACAAGGGTCTGTGGGGGATTTATGGAATCGCCCTCGTATTCAAATTTATAATTCCGAGCTGCTCCTCCCTCGAGTTTGAGCGGATTGACTTCAACGAGGTTATTAACTTACTGAAGGTGGCGAGAGGGTGGTAAGTCAGAAGTTTTGGGGAATTAAGCTACTGCTTGTTTATTAATTTATTTAATTCCTCTTCAGAAGACAGAAACTTCCACGGTATTGATGCTAGGTACCTAGAAGCGGATTTGTTATATTATTATTAATTAAGTATGTACGAAAGCTTACCGCTTGAATTGAGAAGCGTTGATTTATTAAGCATTATAATAAAATACGAGCTCTCTTTTATTCGTTAAATGATTATTTTACATAACCGAGAATAAAATCAAGGGGTTTACCTCATTATTATGTTAGTATTAACATGCTTTACTTATGCCACATATCTAGTGTGGACGTAGTATCATCCTGGTTATAAAAAATTTTGTGCAAATTTAATTATTTATTTGAGATTTGCTTGAAAAACTGAAATATATACAATAGTATAAGATTACTATTTTCGCGTACCAATAACGTGTGTGTTGCTTTTGCAACTTTTAAAAAAGTCCTAGGTCGAAATTAACTGAAAATATACGGAGAACAGGTTTTTAGACATAAACAATGGTAATTAATTGCTTAACGGTTAATCGTACATATCGCGCCTGGTAGCCTATCAGGAACGGATCCCTAACAAATTATGGACGAACGGCAGTATGCAGCGGGCATTTCTCTTCCAGCCTCAGGCCTGGAAGACAGACTGCATTGTTTTTTCGGTAATGAAAAATGGCTTCTCCCGACTGAATTTAACACCGACAGTAGTTAGACAAAGGTAAAATAAGACCTCACTCAGAGCATGGCGTTCTAAATCTGGCCCTGCGTCGGAAATAAATGATTTTCTTTGGCAATCTCCACCTTTAATTGAAAACCAGTATAAAACGATTTAATTATTTCTTTGGGAACTCCTTTGATCTGTTTGTATCTTTATTCGTCACTGTGGCGATGGGTAATTTGTTTTCCGAAGTTTCTCGGGGTCGCTCGCAAGCGCCCTCTCGTTAACCGATCAACTGGCATTTGTTTTTTACCCGTTTATTGTTCGTCATGTCATACCAGGTGTGGGGTCGTCTGGCAGTAGCTGCTATTCAGACAGTTTTTTAAAACTAACAGCGGTGGCTAATTTCCGTTGCCGTTCGTAAGCGTTCGGAACAGGATCGAGTTCTGCTTAAATTTAAATTGTTCACTGTCTAAGGGTTTCCCCTCCGAATTCTTTCGAATAGAACCGATTGATGTGAAACTTGGACTGTAAGTAGAAAATAGCTCAAGCAACAAAAGCTATTTAGTGCCGATGAGCGGTTTTGCCCAGGGGGTGGAAGTCACCCCTTCTAGGGGGTGAAAAATAAAATATTGAAAATAACCCCAGGAAACGATAACGCAATCAATTTTAAGCAAAAAGTTTCTTATGGACATTTTTCGATAAGTCGATATTTTCAATCTAGAAAAGGAAAGATTACGGGGAAAAAATAAAAAAAAATTACATTTTTGACGATTTTGGAAATTTTTAAAATCTTGAGCGACCTCTAAAAAATTTTTTTTGAGCTGATTTTTTGAGGGGACTGTTAAAACATAATAAACTAACATATTTTCACAACACTTTTAATTTCAGGTAAAAGCGTAAAATAGTAAACGAGATGTTCCGGATTTCCGGCGACGCCACTGAGATTAAATCGACAATTTAAATTAACTTTTGTCCGCTCGAGTAGGCGATAAAAATTTTAATTGGGCGGTTGACTAGAAATCTTCAAGCAATAAAGGTAAAACCAACGCCGTCAGTATCAGGCATAACATTTCAGGATAATCTACTTTTTAGGGCAGCTAACCTTTTAAGCTGCTTATTAGGATCCGGAGGCAGAAGCAACTTTAAGAAGATAACTGTCTGTATTAACCGAAGTACTTTAGCAAACAAAATAATTAGCGAAATCAAATCTTCAGGTCCCCGTTAAGGCTAACAGGAAAGAGAGATTTGTTAAATTTATACTACACGACCTGATTTTTTCTCGAATATTGTCAATCTCAAACGAGAGTCAGATGTTAAAGTTTCAGACGCATTAGCCTTCCTCAAGGCAGAATAAGCAAAATGTCAAGTGTTGAAGGAAAAAAACATTTTTGAAAATTTCTCAAAAATAAGTATTTCATTCATTTTTTAAATAAATTTTGCGCATAATTATCCAAAACAATTTAGTTTAATTGTTGAGTCGTTATCGTTCACAAATTTATTTGGGACGAGTTTCGTTCCTTTCCAGCCATTTTTTCCAAAGTTAATGTAATTTAAGACCCCTAATAACCAGCTTTTACGAACAAAGTTGCATATTACTCGGACCCTCCAGAAAGGAAATACCTTATACATAAACTGTATAAACCCTTTTTAATGTATCACCCGCAAAACGGCACATAATATCGCTATCGCGTTCACATTATACGTTATGTTTCTGCTATTCGGTTGCGGGGGAAATTAGTTGCAGACTACAGTAATGTACCATAATAGATTTGGATTATCAGTTACGTTTATCAAATTGAAACCAAATAATTCGTCAGCTGAACCGTGCAGCAAAACCGTTATTTATAGCTGAATCCGAATATCTCCTTCCAATGAGTTCCAAAATTTATTACTTTATAAAAAAAATCAAGGGATTCATTTCTGTTAACAAAACACATCACTTTTTAAATTAAACGTAATTTCAACCGAACCTTAAAGGATTTCGTATGAGGAAAAAAGATTTTATCGAGGTAGAAAGACATTTTCGGAAAAGTAAAACGCAGATGCTTCGCTATAACACAAATTTTGCCTCGCTTCACCATAAATTAAAACGATATCCATCAACTCCGAGTTGCAATACACCTAAGCCATTTTTGAAAATTGAAAAACTAACGTAAACACTATCATAAAATCGCTTTAATACTAAAATCGGATTTCAGTATTCGGAATCGCCTGGCGCCACGTGAAGAAAGAGCGAAGTGCGCACGGCGCACAACTACAGAGGCTACAGTAGCCCATCGATGTAATAGTTGAAAATACTACAAATTCAATAATTTTTTTCTCGGAAACTATAAGGATTTTACAAAAATTGTTTTTACTATATTGACTCCATTTTTCCATCAACTGCTATACACATAAGCCAATTTTGAAACATGAAAAACTAATGTAAACACTATCGCAACGTTATAATACTAAAATCGGATTTACAGCGCACAACGTGAATGACGCTACAGACTATGGTAGCTCAGCGATGTAAGGATTGAGAATACTACAACTTCAATAATTATTTTCTCGGAAACTATAAGGATTTTGCAAAAATTTTTTTTTACGATGTTGACTTCATTTTTTATGACACATCTATTCCCAAATTTTTTTGGATAAGTTGTGTATGCTATGTACCAAAATGTAACTTACTGCAGTGTACTGTAGTGCCTCATGGTTCCATTCTTGGGCCATTGTTGTTTGTAATTCTCATCAATGACATTTTTTATGCTAGCACCGGATACAGCACCAAATTTTATATAAAAAATAGCGTATTCTATTTGATATTGTGACCTGCAAGAACCTACCTTGGCTTGACCTTGAAACTTAAGATCAGATCAGATCCAAGGTCACCAGTACATTGAATTCTTGATATCCCAAAACTTTTATCTGAGTTTTTTTGAGTACCGAAAATTCATTGGTGGGTTCGGGTGTTTGTGACACCCTGTATAATAATTACAATTGCCTGCAGAACAGAATTGACATATTTGTATGTCCCGATAATTAAAAAAAGGTATTAAAGATTACGAGGTTTCATTTTTGGTCACGCTTTGTATACTGACTGTATTGTATATTTTTTTATATTTTAACGCATTTGCATTTTTTATTTATTTTGATATATGGCGTATTCTAATTATTTTATTTACTATGCTAATTCCACCCTATAATTTGTATTTAATAAAGATTCCTGGTGGTATTTTCATCGTATAAGGTTATTATAATATAATATTTCTTGTTGTTAAAGCTGTTTATGAAATATTTCCCTCATCGTATCAGTTGGTCTCAGCTAAAATTGGCAGACTTTCGCGTCAGCGGAAATTGATTGATGATTTTTCAATAATTTTCAAGTGATATGTTGGCACCTTATACCTACTCGAAGTTCTACGGGTGTAAATGATGTGTTTTGCTCGGACACATTTTTCTTATTCGCTGCGTGTCCGATATATACGAATAAATAATTTAAAATGTTTATCAACCTTTTAAATAAAACTCGACGGTATTAAAAGTGAGAAATTTGCGCCGCACAAAGCAATAAATAATTACAATCTACGTTTCGCGAATTTATATTTGTTAGTTTGATTGGCGTTTCCGTGAAATTACAAAATTTAATTTATTTAGAGATAAAATCAAAATTTGTATGCTGGAGGATATTAAAATTTATTGAAATGTATTTAATTTTATATTCCATTTCGCGAATTGATTTGCTCTTCTCTCCCTATTTCGATGTTTGAATATTTATTAATCGACCACTTGTGGTTTAAGACGTAGTACTTGAGGTATTCGTCGTATCGCCGTCGCTTTCACCTGAACCACAGGGCGTTCCACCAGGAACCGCCACTATCGATATCGGAAAATACTGATCCGATAAATCTTAAAATTTGGCAACCTACGGAAAGGCGACATTAACTCTCTTATTTTAAATGGGACACCCTATAAATTATCGCATTTCTGGATTCTACGTAAAATTTGACGATCACTTTATTAAATATTTCCTAGATTTTGACATATTAATTTTTAAAGAAAAAATTTGACAGATGCAAAGATCCGCGGAGATGCTAGTAACTCTTTCAGGAGCGTGATTTGGTACCTGTAATGGTCATAGGTAATACTAAATTATTATTAAAACAATTAATACTAGGTGTTTCACTTTTGCTGTTACATTTTGATAAATTCAAACAACTATAACTTTGTTTACTTAAATGGAACACCCTGTATTTTACTCTGTCGTATGCAGATTGAAATATTTTTTCAAGCCATATGAGCATTGTTAGGGTTGCCGTTATTACTTTTAGAGATATTTGCAATTTTCTATTTTTCGGACAGTTTTTCTCGTATCATACCTGTTATCAAATTGGCCATGACCAAAAACACTCCAAAAACAATTAAAAGAACTTGACATTTCTCAAGTTAGTTGTCAAATTATTGTTGTGTATGTAACAGTTTTTGCCGAAAATTTAAATAAAAATGCCTTGGGATCGTTTAAATTATACTAATGCGGGTTATTTTAATTTATTCGTTATTTATGGATAATGACAAAAATAGAGGAAATTTCTTTAAAAACCTACATTACCTATCTAATAATTTTAATGCTAGATACATCATTTTGATTTATTTTATTTAAATTTTATTCGTAATGTTATGTAGAGTAGGACAATTTTTTAAGGCCATGATAGTACGCTACTGGTTATTTACAAAAACCGCAAACAATTTATTTTGTATAGTCTTTCCGATGTCAACTGAAGAACCAAGAGGTTGACAGTATGTATCAGGTTCGGTCGCTGACGCAGCGGCATTAAAATATTTGAAAAACTTGTCCCCATATTTATTTAGCCATACCCATATACAGGTCTGATCGAACTAAACGTAGAGGTGGTGGAAATGTATACGCTTATTTGAAGAATGCGAACGCGGGCAAACGAAATACAATCACAGCTGCATTGGGCCACTGGGCAATAAATCTCAGCTGTTGACAAGTGGTTCACAAATTGCCCAGCAGTGCAGTGCAGCAATGCAGAATTTGGTGTGATTCAGGTAATTTTAATTTATTATAGGCACCTTCTATTAATCATTGATATTACAATTGTGAAATGGAGAAATTATAACTTTTTCAAACGGGAACGGAAACGAAATTTATCTCGATATAATAAAATTGCTGAGGACATAAATAATTAAAATATGTTCTTGGCCAAATGGACATATAATAGAAATTTTCTACACATTATATACAAATTATTATAATTTTTTACCTTAAGTAGAAAACCTTTTTTAGGGACGCTTATGAAAGTCATTAAATTTTATTGCCAGGCGTTTTTTGCATGTTCAACTGACTTCGGAAGACTATACCTGCCAACATATTAAGAACATATGAAAAATGTCTTCAGAGGTTTCTAGATTATAAATCTAAAATTGAAATTTTTCTAATTTTGGAAACCCCGTAAGTGAACTTTTTCTCAGTGTACGAAATCCAATCCCGTTTTTGCGCGACTCGCGCGTTTTTTACGAGTTCTAATTATCGAAAAAAAAAACCTAAATAATCGGATCGACCGTCCACTACCCTCCCGACATCGGTATTTGATAAGTCGATAAGCCGTTTGTGAGTAAGCTGGTTACGAACTAACAATCTAATTCAAATTTAACTTACGAATATCCGAGCAGAGAACATATGGTTTTCGCAGATGTTCGATCCCAATGGGCCACACAGGCAGGTACCCATTTTTCTTGGTCGGGTCGATATACTTCTAATTGACCTTTTCCTTCATCTCCGTTTCTCTCGCTTAATCGCACTGGAAAGAAACCAGACGATTAATGATGTCATAAGGAACACTGCATGTTTGGACCAAACACGAGCCCCCCTCTCCGAATGTAATCACTTTCGCTTCGCCAATTAAGTCTAAGAATATTATTCAAAATCGATCGCCAAATACTAGCCGGTCAAAAGGTACGTGTCTATACTCCAACGCCAACATATCTGATAAATAAATCGTGAATTATCTGTATGGAAATGTAATGTGCCGTTCATTTCGCATAGTGTTCCATTTTGTTGATACAAGCGCATATTTCCATCTTTGCTACACGATTTGTCTTCTTGAAATCCCGGTTTACTTTCCAGCCGAACCGTGTCAGTGCGCGCCATAAGCGTAGAAATGGGTAAGACGATGCTCTTATAAGAACTGTTCAATATGATCATTGTTATCAGTAGGCTTAGTGCTGAGTTTCACAGGACCGTAGTCAGATTAAGACTGAAAATATTAATATGTTTACCAAAGAGCAAGGAAGTAGAGGATAAAACATCTATACAGGGTGTCTCATAATTGGTGTCCAATAATTTACCACTTGATTGTATTGCCAAAAATTTCGACAAGCAAAAAAATAGTCGACGACCGCCTCAATTGAGACGCCCCTGATCAAAACTTTTAAAAATTTTATGATAATCTATTTCGACTTTTAATGAGCGTTCATGGTGTCAAAATTCATAATTTTCCTTCAACCTATTTCGGAAATATTAAAAAAAATGAATTTTTTGAGGCCCCATTAAGGGGGGCGTAGCTCCCTTAGGAAACAATTCTCTACTAATGTTTATATGAAAAAATATTCTTATTTTTATCTTATTAAAAAAGTAAAAATCATTTTTTTTTTGTACTTGCATCCTTACTCGTCACACCGATCTACGCGTCGAGTCACCGCTTACTATTTTGGCGATGGAGTTAGATTTAAGAAACTCGACGATATTTATCGACTTTGATTTAGTATTGTTTTATGTTTATGTGGCATTTCGCACAGAAGTTCCACTTGGGAACGGCCTTATTGTCAAAATTCAAAACTTTGCAAATCGATTTTGGAATAACGGCCCATATCAAAGTGAATCAACAAAATACCACGGCCTCAACTTATTCCGAAAGCTACTAATTAGGGACTTACGGCAATTCCTTTCATCTTGGCCCCAGGGGCAGTCCACTTTCCCGTCGCACATATGCTCCTGTGTGATACACTTGTCCGCGCCGCAGTTGATCATGCCTATGCCGCACTTGTGGCAGTTCAGCTCGTCGGATTGGTCCTTGCAGTCCACATGGCCATCACACTGCCAATCCTTCGGGATACACCTCTTCAGGTCGCACTGGAACCCGGTCGGGCACACTGAAATAAAACGACAAAACTGCAGCACAAATAAACGGTTTTCAGTGCTGAGGATGCTCATTAAAATACTTTTTTGATGTCTTCAGCGTATCATTGCAGGATAAAGACAGTTATTAAAATGGCGTATATGTATGGCTGTAATGAACGTTTTGATGCGTTGTAAATTTACGGTGAATGGTGACCCAACGCTGCAGAGGCATCGCATCGCTCATAGACCAGGGCGGATCTGTTTTGAGGTGGATGTGAGAGGGGGCGTGCACATTTTTTCTGGATTACCTTCAGTGCGAGTCACATAATAAAAGTGTAGATCCCTAGATCTGGGCGAGGTCCGGAACATTTTCAAAATTGCAAAAATGTTTAAAAAATTAAAAAGAATTCTTATTTTATCTGAGTTCTTTACTTATATCTTGGAACCTATGCATTTTGGAAGAATATTGAAGAGGGAAACAAGTTTTAGAATTGAATTTTGCACAATATACTGTACGTTAAAAATGTTTAAATTTATTACCGATGTTGCAAAATAGCAGTAATTGATGAAAAAAGGCAAAATAATCAAGTTTTTTGGATAATTTTTTAAAAATATTTCAACTGCTCTAATTTTGGTAAAAAAAACTTTAGAGTATAATAAGACAACCCACCAAATTTCATGAAAATCGGTTCGATAGTTTTCGCAAAATGATTTTTTGAAAAATTTTTTTCGAATTTCGAAAAGGTTGTACAGCCTCAAATAAAGTACGGCCACAGTAAATTTTTTAAGTTAACACTTTTTTTATTATTTTTAAACAATTACTTAGAAAGAAACTTGCTTTCGAATAAATCCTGTATTGAAGTTTGTAGGCGTAACAAGTGAAAAGTTGTTTTATAGGAATACTTTGCTAGAGATGTCAGTATTAATTTAATTAAATAAGTAATAACTTTTCCTTTGTTGGAAGATAAAACCTTACGTTTTTTAAATTGCAAATAATTTCATATTCTTATGAAGTAAAGGTATAGGAGAATCGCAAAATTCCTGGGATCCAATTAAACTTTTAAGGAAGTTTATATATTTGTATAATTTCAGTTTTTATTGCAGCAAAGGAGAAGAGAGGTAAAACAAACAAATAATTAATTTCGGGGTTTTTTAGTTCCCCTATCAATTTATCGTTCATGGACATTCCTGGGAAACTTTCCCTGAAACTTTATATATGTTCACGATCTTCCGGCCTGCCGTTCTTCAAGATTTCCCGCGCCGTGGAAATCCGAGTTATTTTACTACATTAATTTCGTTTTTTGCCGGGCTTCTCAGGGTCTAAGCCGAATTTGCAGGCCCCAGTATAATTGTTTTATAATTTCGGACTGTACTGCAACCCTCATACCAACATTAATTCATTTAATAGCCGCGAAACCTGTATAAAGAGGGATTACTTATTTTACGCCTGAAAAAAAAAAAAAACGATTTGGTTTCAGTAAACCGGATTTGGTTTCATTTAATAAATGGTGCACTTGAAAACAGCGGCTTGTTATAAGCGAATGAATAATTTATAAAATTTCAGCCAATTAAATCACCTCACAATTTATTTGTTTTATTACGAAATTAACAAAATTTAGTATTAGCGCACTTTTGTTTGTTAATAAATGGTGCACTTGAAAGATCAGTTGGTTATAAGCAAATGCATAATTTTCCCAATGTCATCCAATTAAATTTACCATTTATTTATTTTATTCTAAAATTAACAAAATTTAAAATTAGTATCACTTAATTTTTAATAAATGGTGCACTTGAAAACATCAGTTTGTTATAAGCAATTCAATAATTCCTCCAACTTCATCGAATTAAATTAATCATATTTATTCGGAAATTAACAAAATTTGGAAATGGGTTCACTTGTCAATAAAAAATTAACTATTTATTTTGTTCAGAAATTAACAAACATTGAAATTAGCGTCACTTGATTTTGAATAAATGGTGAAACCCTAAAAGAGAGGAATTACTTACTTTAAATGATACACTTGAAAAAACGATTAAGTTTCAGTAACGCAGATTTGGTTTCATTTAATAAATAGTGCACTTGAAACATCACTTTGTTTATGCAGATGAAAAATTTGGCCCATTTTAAGTATATGAAATAATTAGGCCAATTTCACCAAATTAAATTAATGATTTTTATTCCGAAATTAACAAAATTTCGTGTTAGGGTCACCTTTTAATATAAAATTAACTATTTATTTTGTTCAGAAATTAACAAACATTGAAATTAGCGTCACTCGATTTTTAATAAATGGTGCACTTGAAACCCTTCAAAAGAGGAAATATTTACTTTAAATGATACACTTAAAAAAAACGGTTAGGTTTCAGTAACGCAGGTTTGGTTTCATTTAATAAATAGTGCACTTGAAACATCGCCTTGTATGCAGATGAACAATTAGGCTAATTTTGTTCAATTAAGTTAACTATTTATTTACTTTGTTAAGTAATTAACAAAATTTTAAATTAGCATCACTTTAGTTTTCAATAAACGGTGCACTTGGAAACATCGGTTTGTTATAACACAATTTGGAATTAGGGTCACTTTTTAATATAAAATTAACTATTTATTTTGTTCAGAAATTAATAAAAATTAAAATCAGCGTCACTTGATTTTCAATAAATGGTGCACTTGAAACCCTTAAAAAGAGGAATTACTTACTTTAAATGATACACTTGAAAATACGATTGGGTTTCAGTAACGCAGATTTGGATTCATATAATAAATGGCGCACTTGAAACATCACTTTGTTGTATGCAGATGAATAATTTGGCTAATTTTATTCAGTTAAATTAACCATTTATTTATTTTGTTAGGTAATTCATTTTAAATTAGCATCACTTTAGTGTTTAATAAACGGTGCGCTTGTAAACATCGGTTTGTCATAAGTATATGAATAATTAGGCCAATTTCATCTAATTAAATTAATCATTTATTTATTTTATTCTGAAATTGAGAAAAATTAAAATCTTTTATAATTTCAATAGTTTATTTAAAAGCCATCAGACCTGTAAAAAGAGGAATTGCTTGTTTTAAACTGTACGTCTGAAAATACTATTCGGTTTCAGTAAAACGGCTTTGGTTTCGTTTAATAAGTTAGGCCAATTTCATACAATTAAAATTAACCAGTTATTAATTAATAAATAAATTGTGCAATTGGAAACATTTGTTTGTTTTAAGCAATTTAATAATTTTGCCAATTTGACCCAATTAAATTAACCATTCACTCGTGTTATTTTGTAATGAAGAAAAGTTAATATTAACGTTGACCTTTTTTTACTAAATAAATTTATCTTATTCTGAAAAATTATACCTGTTCATATTGCTTTATATATTTTATATAAAAAAATAATTAACCATATCTCCTGTGTTAAGTAACGCCTGTTGTATGCGACTGTGTAATCTATTTTTTTTTATGTTTAACCCAGATATATCGAATTAAAAAATCTTAAACGAGGGAAAGGAGGGTTTTTAATACAATTTCGCATATCTGAAAAGCTGTTCAGGCTCCATTTATTTGAATTTCAGTGAATGTTTTACACTAGGTTAAACATGAACACATACTGTCTGGTACATCGCCATTTTTAAGATATTTACAGGCCTAACACTTCGTAATCCTGTAGTAGACTCATTTTATCATAAATTCAACAATTTGTCTCGTTCAGGATGTATTCCATCTATTAAAACGATGATAGTAATAAGGTACAAGACAATTTTATTCTGCAATGTATTAAAAAATAATAAATTTTTGTCGATGTATAAAAAAGTTTTGCTGTAGAATCTTTTAGAAGAAAAACAGATTGTTACACAAATAGCATTGTCTTGATTCGAGGTGTCACTAATTATTTTCTGCGGTGGGAATCGTCACTTTTTAAGTCGTTTTATATATAATTAACCTTTTATCAATCCGACTAAAAGGCTTCTGTTTTCACCGCGAATATTTCCCCCTTCTGGCACCCGGGGCGTCTCTGGGTGTTGCTTTGTTAGGGCAGAATTTTAATTCGCACAATTGCATTCCCGTCGGCTCGCCGCCGACTAGATGCCTGGGCTCTCTACTTGAAACCTCTCATCTAACAACTTTCCAGGACAAAAAAGTAAATAGAAACCGTTCGATATTCATACCGAGTCAACAGCGGATGACGGAATTTAGTTAACAACACCTCGAAATGAGGGTTAACCCCTGTTTTCCTCTTCTCCGCAAAGGGATGAATTTCAAAAAAAAATACGCCAAACTTTCGATCTAACTGAAACTGACGACGCCAACTTTTAGCCGTATTGAGAGAAAATATTAATTTTTAGTGTTTTCAATATGTACTGACATACATTTTATTCAAACAGTCTGTAGGGGTTATGTCGGGACATGCAGCAGGCTCAATATTTACCATTATGAATCATTTTAAGCAGACGCGTGATGTGATTGATTGGGAATACAGTTATTTGTTAAATTTGCCACAGTTTCCAAAAATTGAAAAGGCAAGGATTTAGGGTCACCTTCAAGTTAATTCAAGGTCATTCCAAGATGAAACTAAAGAAAAGGCTTGTATTGAATTTCAACCAGTGCGTATATAAGTTATTTTTATGGGGGGGACTGAATTCGGGGATAGCTTAGCCCTACAAGGTCACATTTAGGTCAGGTCAAGATCATTTCAAGGTCAAAGTAAAGAAAAGGCCTTTCACGAATGTTAACCTGTATGTATGCTTTTGAGGTAACTGAACCTGAATTCGCGGATAGCTTAAGGTCACCTGGAAATCAAGTCAAGGTCATTTCATTTGACTTAATCTCAATTGCTAAACTCTCCCCGAATTCAGGTTCAGCGACCTCAAAAGTATACATACTTACAGATTAACATTCGTGAAAGGTCTTTTTTACTTTGACCTTGAAATGATCTTGACCTGACCTAAATGTGACCTTGTAGGGCTAAGCTATCCCCGAATTCAGTCCCCCCCATAAAAATAACTTATATACGCACTGGTTGGAATTCAATACAAGCCTTT